TAGTACACCTTGCATGGCATTTATCCATAATTCATCAACTAAGGCTTATTTTACATTCTTGGGTTCAATCTTAGAAACAAAGTAAGAGTTAGAAACAACCTCCCTTGATCTAGTAGTAATCCTTTGGTTAAGATCTCCTATAATGAGGTATTTAGAATGATCTTTCAGAATTCTGATTGAAGGACCCTAAATGACTCGAATGTCCTCGGGTTCAACCTCATCAGTCTCAGTATTGGTGTCTTCTTCTTCTTCCATACTTGTTGATTCATCATCCGTCTAGAATGATGTTCCAACATTGTCCTCAATATTATGATCACTATTTATGCTTAAGTCATCAACCACAAAATTTATAGACTCCATCATAACCTAAGTTCTGATGTTAAAAACTCTATAAGCTCTGATGTTTGTAGAGTAGCCAAGAAATATCCCTTCATCACTCTTGGATCCATTTTTCTTCTCTTTTCACGATCTTCCAGGATGTAGCATTTACTTCCAAAAACATGAAATTATTTAACTGTGGGTTTCCTTTCTTTCCATAACTCATACAGAGTATTTGTTGTTCCAATCCTTAAAGTGACTCTATTATGGATATAAAAAGCAGTATTCATAGCTTCTGCCCAAAAATAACATGGAAATTTCTTTGCATGAAGCATGACTCTTGCTGATTTTTGAAGAGTTTTATTCTTTCTTTCCACAACCCCATTTTGTTGAAGAGTGATAGGTGAGGAAAATTCATGACTAATACCTTCAGAGACACAAAATTCAACAAACTTGCTACTTTCAAATTCCCTACCATGATCACTTTTGATCCTGGAAATGTTGCTCTCTTTTTGTCTTTGAAGCTTTCGACACAAATCCTTGAAGACATCAAAGACTTCTAATGTTTCTCTGATGAAATTCACCCATGTGAATCTTGAAAAATCATCAACAACAACATAAACGTACCTTTTTCCTCCAAGACTTTCAACTTCAACAGGTCCCAGATAATTCCATATAAAGAAGTTCTGGAACTTTTGAGGTGGTCTGATGTTGAAGATTTTGTTGTGACATCTTGGTTTGATTTCTAATTTGACATTCTCCACATATTCGTCCTTCCTCAATTTTGAGATTAGGAATGCCTATGGTAGCTTCTTTAGACACAATATTCTCCATACCCTTCAAGTGTAAATGACCAAGTTTTTTATGCCGCAGAGTAACTTCATCTTCTTTGGACAACATGCAAGTGGAAGTATCATTTATTCCTTAAGGTGTCCATAAATAACAATTGTCCTTAGACATGTCTCTTTTCATTAGCACTTCATTCTCCTAATTAGTGACCAGACATTTAGACTTAGCGAAGTTCACCTTGAAACCTTGATCAAAAAATTGACAGATACTTATCAGACTAGAAGTCAAACCATTCATAAACAGGACCACGTCAAGCTTAGGAAATCCTTCACAAGCTAGCCTTCCAACACCTTTAATAACTCCTTTGGCACCATCTCTAAAAGTAACATAGCTAGTTGTGTGAGGTTTAATGTCTTCCAATAAGTTTTACACACCTGTCATATGCCTAGAACATCCATTGTCAAAATATCAGTCTTCATTAGATGAGACTTTAAGAGAAGTTTGAGCAATGTGATTTTTGACGAAATCTTTCACTTTCTATTCCTTTTTAGTCCTGGTTAGTAAAGAATTTGCACTAGGTTGAGATGGATGTTTTGGATATTCATAAAGCATGTGACAAACTTGTTCTAAGTGTCTACTTCTTCATCAAAACTGACATCTCCAAGGCCTAAACTCAACTTTGGTCTGAGTTTCTTGTGACCTGACATGATGTTGGGACATCTGGCTAGACATCTTACTTTCATCGTGTATTTTAGCAGGGACAAACTTTATCTCATGGGTTTTCTTTTTACTTTTCAAGTTTTGATAGTTAAACCCAATTCCAGTATGTCTTTTCCCTCCTTCCACATCTTGAAGAATATCATCTAGCACATCAGACCCATTGTTCAACATCCTAACACCTTTTATTAATTTATCAAGTTTAGATGTCAGCAAGGTCACTTTATCTTGGAGATCAGAATTATCAACTAGGTATTCATCCTTCTCAGCCTAGAGTTTAGCTATGATCGTCCTCTATTTTACTCCTATTTGATATAATTTCTCACTTTTGTTGCATAGTTCTCTGTAGGAGGTAGTTAATTCACCATGAGATGTATGTTCACTTCTGAAGTCTTCCTTAGAATGCTATCTTCCTGTTAAGGCAGTCACAATCTTAGCAGATTGTTCCTCAGTAAATTCATCATTTAACCAAGAACTAGTTAGTCCATTGGGTTGTCTCTTGAGATAAGTAGGAAATTTTGTTCTAATATGCCCAAATCCTTCACATTCATGGCACTGAAGTCTCTTACTTTGATCAGACATATCTTTAATTCTGAGTTTATTCTGGAAATCATGATTATTGTTGTTGTTAGATGAGATGATCTTGACATTTAACCTTTATGTCCTTTCCAATCTCTTCAAGACATTTTTGAATTGACTTCCAAGTAACACAATAGTGTTTGACAATCTCTCCTCAGAATCCATAGTACCAGAAATATTCTCCTTGGAGCTCACCCAATAAACAGAACAGGGTGTCTACTCTGATGCCAATTGAAATTCTGGCACTTACAATACAGATGTCAAGACTAATGTCCTAATACCAACACAATATCAAGACTGATGTCCTAATACCAACACAATATCAAGACTGATGTCCTAATACCAACACAATATCAAGACAGATGTTATGACATCTTCTACTGACAGACAAATTAAATATTATGCATAAAAATAAATTGCAGAAAATTAAACTACACAATCAATCGTTAACCTAGATCGGTGCAACGTCACCTACTCTGGAGGCTACCAAGCCAAGAAGGAAATCCATTATGATAATATTAGTTCAAAGTCTACACAATCCCAGTTTACAATTTCTCTACTAATCACTACTTTGTGCAACTTCTACCTAGACACCTCTAGATATGAGAACCCCCAGTCACTTCCAATCACCATAGTGATACCTATAGTCACAATTTCAGTGACTAGAATAAAAGAACCAAATAGACTATTACACTTCAAATATGAAATTACTTAATTTTGCTTAAAAGTTTCAACTAAAAACAATACTAAACTCTTTGCTTAAAAGCTCATGAATGAGAACAATAACTTGATATAAAATCAAATAACAATCAGTCAACCTCAATACATTAAAAGATACATGAATGACATACAAAGAACACAAACGCTAAGAACTTAAAAGACTCTTAAAATCCTAACCTTATTTTACACTCACGATTTCTTCTATGTGAATGCTTGATATTTTAGGTCTTGTAAGTCCTTATTTATAGACTCTTGTAGTATGGGTTTGGACTCTTCAAATCAAATCCAATCTTTACTTTTTAAATCAGCTCCAAGATCTTCACATGAAAATAGGAACAAATCTTTTAAAGTTTCCTAAAAAGTCTCCAAGATCATTTTTAATGAAACAAATCGAATTTGCACTTGTTTATAATAAATCTCCTTGACCTGTGAAGAATAATGAGATATATTCAAAAGGAGATCTAAAAAATAAATCAAATTTGTCAAGAGATTAAAACACCAGCGTCTGCTGCATCATAGTGCAAGATGTCAAGACATTTGGCTTAACATCTGTCTGGTACACATGACAGCTGAACCTATCATGAAAGTTAGTCAAGAAGTTGTGACACATTGCTCAACATCAGTCCATAACTAAGTTTTAGCAAAATTTATGCCAAACTTCAAACCATGGATTTAACACTCACAAAAAACTTACAGATGTTCTAACCAAAGCTATCAAGACTGAACACTTTATCCACTTGAGGGATGGAATTGGTGTTGTTGGTTTTTAGTCTCAAATGTGGATTAATGAATGGTGTTGAAGTGTAATCCAAATTCAACACATTTAGTTAGAATTTTATTTAAATTTGCATTTAGATTTATTTTGAGATGCATTTGAATTTCAATTGTGATATATAAGCTTAGTCTGTTCAGTTAGAGTAGTGTAATAGATATAGTGTAATTAAATTTCCCTTTTCATGAAAAATTAATTACAAATCTATTTTTTTCCTCTTTTTCTATCTTCATCTTCACCTTCAATCTTCTGCACTAATAGTAATAACATTTTTAACCACCGAAAACAAGACCTCTTTAGAATATTATTTTTTAAAACATATGATGACTTAATTTATTAACTAATACCTACTTATCACGCCACATATTCAAAGTTAATTTATTTTCATAATTTTTAATGACAAAAACCTTTTTATAATAACAAAACAATTCTTAAAGGATCAATATATAATATATTTTTTTAACAATCAAAACAAAATATTAAAATAAATTAAAGAACTTTAAGAATTGTTCCAAAGGAAAAAAAACTCTTAGATGCATCCTTATGAAATGTATAGGTTATGATGACTTCTCCGAAGGTCTTGGTATCATGATAAAAAAACAAAATGTGTTACATACTTTTATAACTTATGCTTAATTTATCTACATAAATTCTTGCCTACACGAATAAGACATGCACATGCACATTCTCAAGACCCCTACTGAATCACATTTTAGTGGATCCCACAACTCTTTACACAACTTAATTTGTGTCTTTTACACGTATGCTGCATGTTCTTTACCTATTTTCACATGCTTTCTGATCCACTCCATGCCATATTAACCCTCCTTTGAAATCACCAAAACACCCTCCAAAGAATCTAAAATTCTTGAACACTTTAGAGGGCAAGGAATATCTTCTTATATGACATGGTGACCCTTACATTTAGTGCAGAAAAACAAAAAAAAATGATGTAACAGTGAGTTTAAGCTGTCAAATAGTTTTATATATATTCAATAATGAGACCATCAACCACCATATAGTAATGAAAGCAACTTCTCAAGAGATCTAAGTAAAATCATGGTTTGCTACAATTCATGTAGTTAGTTAGATACTTGAGAAAGAGATGGGAAAAAAAGGTAAATGGCTTAAGAATTTACTTGACAGGGAAAAGAGAGAAAGAGAAGAATCTACAATAAACCAGAATTTTTGTAATGGAACAGAAAATCCAACTACTCCAATTTCAAGTTCAAATTCAAGTTCTACAAAGGAGAAAAAGAGATGGAGTTTTAGAAGATCGGCCTACACCAACAGTTTCTAAGGAGTTGATAAATCTGAAGTTATTGCTTCGGTGACAGTACAAACTGTTACTGATATTCAGAATATTCAGAATGAGCAGAGGAATCAGGCTATGGCTGTGGCTGTTGCTACTCGCGGGCCGCAGCTGATGCCAGCAGTGGCTGCTGCACAGGCTGCAGCTGTTGTGATCCGCTATGACTTCTGGTTCGAAATGAGAGTTCTAGAAGTATTGAAGAGGCTGCTGCTGTTAAAAATCAATGCGTCTATCGATCTCACTTGGTATGAAGTTAGTTTTATGAGTAATCGACGTTAACTGTCTATCAATTTAGTTCTTTAAAATTTGCTTGACCTTTAGATATTTCGAGGATCGAAATAAGTATCGTATGTGAATGTTTCTGTGACAGGCGGAGAAAGGCATTGCGTGCTCTTAGAGGAATAGTGAAATTGCAGGCCCTGGATAAGGGGGTCCACTTGGTGAGAAAACAGGCTAAGGCAACTCTTACGATGTATGCAGGCTTTGGTGACAGCACAAGCTCAGAGCGCGTGCTCAACGGATCCGAATGGTGTCCGAAGGAAAGCCTAATCCAAATCAATCAACTCCTAGAAATGTCATGGAAATGGAAAATGACCTGTTCAGGCAAATATATAATGTCAGTTCCATAACTTCAGCTAATTATCTTTTGATAGTAATTTGATTGTTGGAATTTTCCAGAATTGATGTCATGTTATCATAATACATAATTGGAAAGAAAGTAACAAATTTCATTTTGCATTAATTAGAAAAGTATTCTATTATGAGCCACTAGTTATAGCACTGATGCTTCAAATTGAAGGCGTGTATGAATGTCCGATAAGTGTTTAGTGTTAAACAAAGACACGAGACACGATACAGATACTTGTGATTACATACAATCACTCATATTAGTTTATATAAAACTGAACTTGTCTAATCATGAAAAAGAAATGTGGTTTTGTGCATATAGGAAATGGACAGATGCTTAGAAGACAACATCAAGATTGTGGAAAATGGACTTTTGTGAATCAAAGGTAACTCTACAAGCAGAAGCAGCAGTGTAAAATCATCAATATTCCACAAATGGTAT